TATATAAAAATAATCATAATATTTTATTGTCAACAAAATAGAATTAACTATTAATTATTCGTTCTCTATTCTGTTATTTGTTTTATATTAATAGTGAATAAGTGTTGAATTTTATTCATATATATATAAATTATCATTATATTTTATTGTCAACGAACAAACGAATTTTATTTTTCTATTAACTATTCTTTCTCTTATCCGTTATTTTCTTACGCGTGCTAAACAAGACGGTAAGTACAATATTGATATTTCACATCTAATTTATTTGCGGAAATGTTTAAATAGCTGACAGCAAAATAATTAATTCACAGACGAAAGTATTTTGGAACATGTAATAAATATGAACGGTATAACACATTTTATGCCTGGTGTCAGACATGTGATTTCAAAACAATTGTTCAAGAATGGTCAAGTAGAGATGAAGATGTTGATAATAGTATTAAAGAACTTATTATAGAATTTTAGCATGAAGCTATAATGCATGATAAAGTAATTGAATGGATCCTATTTAATAGATTACATAATATTCAAAAAGTTGGTAAAGGAGGTTATGGAACAGTATTTTCAGCAATTTGGTCGGATGGTATCAGAGTAACTAAATATAGCCATGATATCAATAACTATGTAAAGTCACGTAAAAAATCATCTACGGTTGTACTTAAAACCTTGCCTAATTCTCCTAATTCTCAAAATCCTTCTGAATGTTTAAAAGAAGTGCGTTAAAATTGGTTTGTTATCATAAATTTAAGTATTTTAAATATTAAACAAATATATTAATATAAATTCATTTTAAAAGTTTAAAAATCATATGCAATATAGATTAATGGTAAGTGAATTGGCGATATATGAATTAACACGAAGTACAGAAAATAATGAACATATTAATGCTGGTGATTATCTGATGGTATTTTAATATGCTGATAGTAGAAATCTTGATAAGTTTTTAAAAGAAAACTTCAAAGAGCTTAACATGGAAACGTAAATTATCGCTGCTTATTGATATATCAAATGATTTAGTAAAAATTCACAAAGCGAGATATATTCATAGTGATTTTTATAGCAGAAATATTTTGCAAAATAATTTTAATGGAACTGTATTTTCTTATGTTGCTGATCTTGGATTATCTAAAAAAATCGAAGAACTCAATAATAAAAATAATATTTTTGAAGTTATGCTATATATTGCACCTAAAGTTTTACTAGGCAAGCCTTATACACCAGCGGCTGATATTTATGGACTAGGTGTTATTATAGCAGAAATATCAACTGGACAGAGACACTGCGATGGTTTATCATTTGGCCATAGTCTTGCGGCTAATATTTGCAAAGGAATATTATGACCAGAATTTGCTTATGGAACTTCAGATTGCTATGTTAAATTATCTGAGAAATGTATAGATCTAGATCCACAAAAATGGCCTACTGCTAATGATGTTACCTTAAATCTTTATAATCAGTAGAATTATATTAGAGGTTATAATAATAATGATAAACTTGATATAAGAAAAAAATTCTTGGATACAGATCAAATTATTAAAACATTACCGATTAGTATTCCAAAGCATTCAGATGAAATATACACAAGTAAAATTATTAATACACAAGAAATAAGTGCACGAGGTATTTATATTTCTAAAAATATTTATGCATTATTATGTTTGTAATAAATTTTTGATTTTTTTTTATATATTTAGTATCTAAAGAGCCTGAACTTCCATTTTGAATTTATAAAAAATATAGTGAAAATTTGTACTAGATCAAAAGATTGAAATTTAAAGTGTTCTGCTTAAAAGAAAAAAGTTAGTAATAAAAAAAAAGAGGGCTATTTATTTAATAACTTAGTCTTATTATTTAAAAATTATATACTGTATAGTGTTAGACCCAATAACGTGATGAAAATAAGATGCCAGGATATCATGTGTGGGCGGGTGTAGCGATCAATTCCTTGATATGGATATCCCGGTAATTAATCTCATTAATTCAATTAATTAAATATATCAAGGAAAGAAGATTTAATAGCGAAAGGGGATTTAATCATTATAAGGGTTTAGAAGGATAAATTAGAGAGATCGAATTAAATAAAGGAAGTGAAGAAATGAAGTTTATGTAATTAAATTAGTCATAAGTAAAATTTATTATAAATAAAGGGCACTATCGCCCTGAGAAAATAATATGTCTCGTTTGCTTTATTAAAAAGAACAAGTCCCAATACATTGTATCGTCCATAATAAAACACTAACACTATACCCAGTATAAACCCTATAAACCCCTATAAACATCGTCGTTCATCCAAGTTCTTGTTCACGTGACTTATGCTACTGAACTTCGTTGAATCCAAGTAACCAAAAGCCTTAATCACCCACCAGCCAAATCTAACACCCTCTTTCGAAAAGGTTACTTTACCGTACGTTACATAAGATTTTGGATTGTGGAGCACCTGAGTCACAGTAATTCTGCCTATAACAATAGTTTGATTTTGAAACAAATACCATTTGATAATTCTTTGTTTTTTAACTAGTAGACATTTCTCTGTAATAAAAATTTATTTCTGTGAAGTGAACAAATATCACCAAAAAATTGAAAATTAGCAATAAAAAAAATTTTTTAACTATATTTATATTTAGAACTTTATAACATATATATCCTCAAAGGTCTACCTTTTAATTGTTTAAAATGTTAATTATAAATTTTTAACTGTTTTCTATAAAACTACGGCACATGATCTAAATATTGCCTCTGTTGCATTAAAAATAACACCCAAAATCAGTTGTGTTGCTTGTATGAATTTGAATAATATAGTAGTTTTAAATAAGCTTGATAAATTTATTGTGATATTTCGATCATAAAAAGAACTACCTTAAGCATGTTTTTTGGAATAATAATTGGTCCACCTGCAATTTGGTATGCTTTTTAAATTAAATTAGGAGACACATCTTTCAAATTCTGAAATCAAAATTTACAAAGTTTTTTCATTTAAATAGCATTCGAATTATCATATTCTGTGGTCCAAACCACGACCTTTCACCGTAAAATACTTACCACTATCTACTATTTGGATAGTTTGTGTATATCAAATGTTATTTGACAGGGGGGAGCGGTTTGGCCTGCGAAATATGGTAAATACAAGTACGTCATCTTTTTACACTTTGTTTTTTATAAAAAAATTTCTGTACAATCGTATAACCATATAGATATAATTATCAGCCTTTATAATTGTGTAACAATATAGATATAGTTAATATTAAATATCTGCACAGGTTCAGATAAAGTTAATCTACAATTCTATTTTCAGAGTTCTTAATTTTAACATCAAAAAAAAAACTAGATACAGTAAAATAACTTATCAATATATATCATTATCCAATTATTGTTATTGCTACATTTATTATGTCAAAAGAAGGAACGTACAAAAAATTTAATACTATCGATGCAGCGAAACTTGGTATACATACCCTTTCTGAAATCACAGAATTATATATCCCGATAGTTAGTTATATAGTAAATATTGTTAAAGAGATCGAAAAAACCTTTAAAAAAGCTCAAAGCAACAAAAATATCTGTTTAATATTATTTGAATGAGCTAAAGATACTGAAAGTGCAATAAACAAGATATTGAATTATAAAGATGATTATGAAGAGTTTTTACGAGAAAAAAAAAGTTACAAAGCTTTTTATAAATTTAAAATTTTGCTGATAAAAATTAAAGATTTTGTAGTTGAAGTTTCAGAACTTAAAGGTGTTAGAAAATTTTTGGATGCTAATAGTGTTAAAAGCATATATGATAAGTTAACGAATGAGTTTGAGACGTGCATGAAGGATCTGCATTTCGAGGTGATGATAGTTAATGAAGTACAAAGAAGAAAAGATAATAAAAAAGTCAAGGATGATTTAGAAAAAATGAATAAAGTTTGTATCAACAATTTGTAATAATAAATGTAATATTTTATGATTATAATAACAACAATTTGACATTAAAATTTTATTTGTTTATTTATAAATATTAATAGTATTTTAAAATAATTTATAAAAGGATAGATGTAAACAATCAAAATATTCAATTTATAAAAAATTTAATGACTAAGAACTTCAGAGATGACGTACAATCCCTGAGAATTGATCCATCTGAATTAACTGACAAATGCTGTTATGAGCGTTGTGGCAAAATTATCAAAAAATACTTCAAGGAAGCATGTGAAGTTGCTTGTAAACCAATTGAAAGTATTGAGCGATTTCAAAATGAATTGACAGTTCTTAAGAAATTAAACAAATTTCCGAACATCTTAATTTTTTATAGTCTTTCTAAAATTGATAATTACAACATTATAGTTTTAGAGTGGACTGAATATAGATCTTTGAAGGAGTTATACGAAAAATATAATATCACATAGCGCAGAAAAGTACAAATTGTACTTGATATTTGTCGTGGCCTTACGTATTTACATCAATTCAACATTGTTCATCATGACGTTAGATGCAATAACATTTTAGTAAGTAAGGGTGAAATTACAAATAAAGTTATACCAATAATAATACCTTAAATGTCATTTTTAACGTTCATAGATAAATAAAAACTTGGAACCAAAAATTACAAACTTTAGATTCACACGTATGATGACTAAAAATATTACTATGGACCTTTCAGAACAATTGCATACTGTAATTCGTTAGATGGCGCCCAAACAAGTCAAAAAATATAAAAAAGGGGATAAAAGTCTAAGTTATAGTATTCATTCCGAAATTTTCAGATATATATCACAATATTGATCAAGATAAACTTAAAAATTAAGTCTTTTATTTTTTGTATGCAATTATAGTTTTGGAATGCTGATTT